TCTCGGAGGTGATCAAGGTCCTTCCCCTGTACCTGTAGCCTGCGCTGCCCTGAGGTCTGGGCACCTCCACCAATTGACCATTTCTCTGGACTACACAATAGCAGATAATTAGAGCCTGAAAGTCTCTAGTAACTGACAGTGTCTTTCCAACAGGCTGGCACTGCCCACACCAGCTCCACTGGGCGTGGGGACACCCCTGGCCTGTAAGGAAATGCAGCCTGTGCTCCTTGGGTCAGTGACCTCCTGAATCCAGAGGGGCTCTCTCTGGCGGCTTCGCCCTCTACAGTTGTGACCCACAGCTCCCAGTACAGGTTCACCTCTTAACGGAATGAATTGCAAAGTGCTCCAATTGCTTGACAGATTATGCGCTGCAATCAATACCCCTCCATAAACTGTGTGGAAGTATTGCATTCGAAGTCCAATGCACTCACTGCTTCCATGTTGGAACACCCATTAAAGCCACAGTGGCTCTGGCTCAAGACAGTCTTCCTCATGGTCCACTCAGCCTCCTCTCTGGGGTCACCCCTGGCCCAGCGGAGAACACGAAATAGCCATCGTGGTGTGGACGGACATCTTCAGGATCAACACAGAACAAGCCCAGATGCCTGTCCCAGGTGGTTACAATCAGTCATGCGCCCCGTCCTGCCCGCGCCCCCCCATCACCCCGCCTTGTCTAACCGGGCTGCTTGTCCCCCAGACCACCCACCCTTACAGGCGCCCGCCCTCTTGGGTGTACACTGTGAGCACGTTCTCAGTGTTCTCCAGGTGCTTATCCAAGACATTAAATAAGTCGTCGCCTCAAGACGCTGTGCTGCTAAGGCTCACGCTGGAGATGCCGCAACTGGCCCCAGTGCCGTTTGACAGGGCATGGCTGGAGGATGCAGAGGATGGAGCCTTGGCCGTTTTTCCATTCGTCTGTCAAATGTTTTCTCGGTGCCTGCTGAGATGCTAGGCCCTGTGTGGGCGCTCCCAGCACATCACACACACACACACACACACACACACACACACTATTTTTTCTAGCAGAATCAGGAATGAAGCTTCACAGGCATTTACACAGCAGTGTGTGCTCTCTGGAGAGGCGCAGGAAGGAGCCACCTTCTGCAAGCAACCAGGGACGCCTAAGACAAAGTCTGGATTCTGGCTCGGGAAGGCAAGTGGAGTCAGGTGAGTCCTTGGGACAGGCTCAGGAGACAGGCTTCTGGGCTCCCCGGGCACTCCCAGCCCCGCCCCCGCCCCAGCAGGGGTCTGATGACCTGGGGCAGCCAGCAGCAGTGTCTGAGCAGCAGCCAGGTCCTGTCCTGACCCAGCAGGAGCCGCCAGTCAAGGCCCATCCAAGACCTTCTGCTTAGCGGCTCATCAGTAGCTGCTGAGAAAAGAGCCGTGGAAAGCAAAGCCTTGGATGATGGATGGGCTGGTCTGTCTTTCTCATGCTCCCGTGGCTTTTCCAATCGGAAAGAAAGGCTTATCTCTTATTTTTAATTGATTTGAGTGAGGCTCAGCCAGACTAGCTCAGATCTCAGCTCCTGCAGGGCCCAGTGAATGGAGCCTGAACGTTGACACCCAGGGGCCGGGAGAGGCTCAGGGGGCGGTGAGGCCACCGAGCCTGTGGGACACCCCGTGGCCTTGGCCTCCCAGGCTGGCCTGCCAGGATGGACCCTCGACAGGCTTTGGGGGTGGTGCTGGATGAGAATGGGTAGTCTGACCGCTGGATGATGCAGAAAGGCCTCGTTAACTACGGTCCGGCGGGCTGTGCGTGAGCCCACGGCCGGCACCGCAGCTAGCGCCCGCTCAGCACGCGGCCCTCTCTGCTCCGGCCAGTCCCTCGGCCTCCGCAAAGCCTCTGAGTGCCGCACAGCTTCTGTCTGCAGCATAGGCAGCAGCTCTGACATTGGGGTTCCTTTCCACTTCCTGTCTCCTCCCTCCTCACTGACCCACCGTCCCCTGAACCTGTCTGGACTCGGCCTCTGTGCCTGGACTTGGACCAAGGGCCACCTTCCCCGGCCCTCAGCCCTCACCTCGCAGGTAGACAGTGTCTACCCAGGACATCAGAGGGGAGGCAGAGAAGGTTAGGCCAGCACCGTGCTCGGAGCACTGAAGCTCGGGGTGATCACCCCCGCCGCCCTCTCCGCTGACGGAGTCAGAGTGGGCAGCAGGAGCTCCGGCTGGTGCCGGGTGGGCTAGGAGCTGCTGGGACATTTCCTGGAGGCCCCTGCCCCTCATCTTAGGCTGGAGGAGGGGGTCTCTGGTTTGCCTGCTAGAGAAGAAACACCAGGAGAAAATGGACTGCAGGCCTTGTGAGCCACCGACTCGAGAGCGGCTCTGGGGCTTGTCGCCGCCCCTCACCCGAGCTAGAACTGAGCTGGTATCCCTGACCGCACAGAAGCCCACCAGGGAAGGCACACGTGCACGGGAATGAGCAAACTGAGGCACAAAGTTACCGGGGATGAGCCAGGCATCGGTAAAGGTCTGGAATGTTGCGGAAGTGGGAGAGCTGAAGATGGGAGTCGGGGAGGAAGACTTCAGCCCAGGGCTGGGCCCCGCCTTCCAGCTGCTCCGTCTCTTGCTGGTCCTCTACAGGCCCTTCCTGTGGTCGCTACCACCGGGGCCCCTCATCCGGGGCAGGTAGGTGGGTGAAGGAGGCAGCCGCTATCTCCAAGTTCCTGTCTCCTCCTGGCCTCCGGTGAGAACTGAGAGGGTCCCCTAAGCAATACAGACGCAAGCAGCCGGCCCTCGTCTCCCAGGGCACACAGGTCTCCAACGCCGTTTCCCCCGGGCCACGCCGCCCGAGCCTCGCGTGGGCACCCTGAGTGGGCTGTCAGATTCATGGCAACACACGAGTTTACAGACATCTCTCAAGAACCGCGAATGCTCGGAGATTCCCCCACTTGGAAACTCACATCACTGTGGATGTTGCTTAGAACAAGATTCCTGGATCTGGGTGAAGGCCGGTTTCTTTCTCACAGCACTCACAGGGTCAGCATGGTCATGCCAGCTCCCTGGGTCCTCACCCCCAAGGGGGACATGAAGAGGCTTAGCTGACACCCTGCACGAGAGGGCGATGAGCCCGGGCTGGGTCTTCCTGCCTGGGCTGGCAGGCCCCTGTGGGGTTTGCTGTACATGCGGATAATCCGGAATGGAGGGTGCCCCCACCCTTTGTCCCCAGCAGTCGGACACGCTCCTAGCACACATGCCCGTGTGCACGGGGTGAATTCCTTGCCCCATGCAGAGTGTCTTCAACTGGCACAGAAACCCACACAGTGCCACACGCGTCGCCACAACCACACCAGCTGGGAAACGCTGGGACAGTCTTTGCCCAGCACGAGTCTCCGTCCTGCACGTCTGCCGTCCTGAGCCCCCAGGAGGGGAACTCGGGCTCTCTCTGAACCCCTCCCTCTCTCTATCTGGCCATTAGTTCTCCAGTGCCTCTGTTTCCTCAGTCCCACCCACGTGTGCCCTCCCTTATTGAGTCTCCCCTTGGGGTGGCAGGTGGGAGAACCTGGAGAAGCACTCAGGCCTGGGGGTCCCTCCCCACCTCACCCCGTACCAGGACCCCTACCCAGATGTGCACTGTGGGAAGGGGCAGGCCAGAAGGAGCTGAGAGGAAAGTGAGGGGGGAAGGGGCTGTTCTGCCCTCTGGCACCCCCAGCGCAGTGTCCTGCAGGAACTCAAGGACAGATGTTCTTTAGGGTGTTGACCCAAGGGCCTGGGCCTCCATCTTGCTAACTGTGACTCAGGGCAGGAAGGAAATAATTATATACCCATTTGATAGAGGAGAAAACTGAGGCCTGGAGAGGGAAAGAACCAAACCTAAGGTCACTGCAGAAAACACTGGAGTGGGGGCCAGAGTCCCTCTCCGGCTCCTCACCCCCACTGCCTCGGTCAGCGGCACCAGGGAGGCCAGCCGGAGATGCTGCGGCCCCTGCACACTGGGCTTCCCTGGCACTGGCGGTGGGTGGTAGTGAGAGAGGAAGGGGCTTGGCCAGGAGGGAAGGGGGCAGCGGCAGGGCCCCGGGGCCTGGCCAAGGTGTTGGAGGCGGCTGGGACCTCCAGCCCCACTAGGACAGGGCATGTTTGGACGGGGCGGGGGAGGCCCAGAGGCAGAGAGGCAGCCAGAACACCGCCCGCCTGGCGTCCCGGCGTCCCGGCGTCCCGGCGTCCCGGCGTCCCGGCGTCCCGGCGTCCCAGCCGCCAGTGCCAGCAGCGCTGGCTCGCGTTGCCGAGCACGCCCGGGCAGGCCGCGCCACGGGCCCCTGTGCTCAGCGGCCCTCTGTCTGCTCCAGGTCTTGGGCAACGAACCCCTCCCGCAGATCTGAGACCCCAGAGGAGGCACCATGTTGGCTCACCCAGGCCCGCACCTGGCTCAAGTGTGGAGCAGGCACCTGACACGCGTGGGCGGAATAAATGCTGAATGGGTGACAGGGCGGCGAGAAAGGGCCTGACCCAGCACCCCGCAGGTCGGTCTCGCTGCGCAAGGATCTACTCAAGTGGAGCAAAGGCCCTGAGGCTGGCTGCTGATGTCACCATGTCCCCGCCGGTCACCATCCCCGCATCTCCAGAAGCCTTGGGACACTCTGAAGCTCCTGCTTTGCCTCTGTTCAGTGGCCCTGCCCCGGGCACCAAACCCCTCCCTGTAAGAATGCACCCCCAGGACCGCTGCCCACTCCCCCCGGACACACCTGCCTCCCTCCCGCTCCCTTCTAACCTCCCCCTTCCCCAGTGCACACGTTCTGGGCCCAACACCTGGCTGTGCTCCCTCCCTGCCCCGAGCAGCGTTAGGGAACCTTCTCAACTTCCCACTGCAATTTCAAAAGATGCTGATCTTTGTCAGCTGCATTAATGAATCACAGCCCAGGAGGCGCCAACCTTCCTAAAAATATCTGAGAACCGCGGTACAGAGAGAGGCTGTGAAGGCGTGTGCGTCCCCACCGAGCCAGCCTGCCTACCCTGGCTGCTGGGGCGAGGGGCCGCCCCCCGCTCCTCTGTGGCCCCATCCTCACCTGCTCTGAGCTCCAGGAGCCGGAACGTGTGGGGGCAGAGTCAGATGTCTCCCAGGGAGCTGCCAGTTCTCCTCCACCATCAGGCTGGGGAAACTGAGGCCGGGGGGGAGAGCTAGAGTCGGGGTTTGCTGGCCCCAGGGCGGGGCTCTGCAGCCACAGTGGGAGTGGGAGCAGACCCCTCCTCTGAGCCCCCCGGCTGGCTGCCGAGGGCCCTGGATGAGCCCTGGTCTGAAGCGGCTCAGCTGTTCCACAGATGCAGTAAAGCCCCTCAGACAGAGGCAGCTCACAAGGGGGCCGGGGGGGGGGGCGGGTAAGTGGGGAGCTGCCCTCCTACGGCAGTTTTTGTCTGTCAAGCAGGGAGACAAGGAACGGACCCAGGTGGGACATGCACCTGGTTCTGCTTCTGAAGAGCCCAGTCCAGGCCTGGCCTTTTCTGCTCGGGGCTGCTCGGGCTCACCCAGCCACAGACTCCCGCACGTCTCACCGCAGCTACTGGTGTTTTGGTCTGAGGTGGCCCCAGGACCAGCAGCATCGGCGCCATCAGAGAGCCGACTGAATGCAGACGCTGGGCCGGCCGGACCTGTGGCTCTGACCCCAAGTGGCTCTTCTGCCCATTAGCGCTTGAGACACCCGCACTCCGCACTCAGGATTCCCCCAGACTCGGGCCTCCCAGGCAGGGCTCCTGCGATGGACTGCACTTGCGCGAGATTATTGATTAGCTGGGTGGGGATCGCGAGCACTGGAGGAGGAGAGGAATCTGGGGACGGCAAATCTATGAGAGAAGTGGAAAGAGCCACGCAGGGCGGCTGCAGCAACTGCATTCACAGAGCGGCTGGATGTGGGGAAATAAGGGCGAGACCTTGTCTCTCCTGCTTCCCTCCGGCTGGGAGCAACTCTGCTTTCCCGTTCTGATGGCTCCTGCTGTGATGGGGTGCTCACTTGCTCTCAGGCAGTGGGGTGCACAGGGGTGACTCTGGCAAGGGCCCCCTAGCTCCAGCTGCCCGCTCGCCTGCCTGGTCCCTGGAAGCTCCTGGCAACCAGCTGGCCAGCCAGAGTCCCTTTACTCTGTTCCCTGCCACCTCCCTCCCTCGAGTTTCAGAAACAGCCTTTCTGTGTGGCGGTGTCATCCTGAGGGTCGCTCTTGGCAGAACGCTGCGGTGTTGCAGAGGCTGCTCTGGAGGCAGGACTTCAGCGGTGAGCATTCGCTTCATCCCACCCTCGGGCCATCGGACTGGTGGGCACCAGCACTTTGTTAGGTCAGGAGCCCGGGAGTGGCGCCCGCTGGCCTCTCCATGCTACAGAGGCTGCAGTGCCCTGGGGTCACCGGTGGACTCCGGGACACCACCCCTCGCCACACACCAGGCCACATGAACCTCAGGATGGAGGACAGTGCCCAGGAAGCCGGGCTGGAGCCAGCAGGATTGTACTGGGCCCAGGGTGCTCCAGACCAGAATGGCTTCCGCCCTTGCGCACCTCCACCCACCTACTCCACGAGCCTCCGACTTGCACCTTCTGGAACCGGACTCACCCACCCTTTCTCCGGGGCTGTAGCTGAGTCTTGTCTCCACCGAGGGGTGCCCAGGTGACCAGGGTCCAGGTGCAGTCGCTGCCCCACTGCTGCTCCTGCCTCCCCTGGGGTTCTGCAAACTCAGGAGGTTCTGCTAGTTCTCCCTGCTTATCCTCTGCCCTCTGCTCTCCATTTTCACTGCCAGTGACCTGACCTAAGCCCTAAACTGCTCACCTGTCGCCTCTGGAGCCTCTCGTCTCCTCCTGACATCCACAGGAAGGGCAGTGATCTTCTGGACTGTACAGATGATCTCAGACACCTGCTTGTCTTGCCTTCAATTAAGCCCCAAGCCAGTGGCTTCAAGTCCGGTCTCTTTAGTGGGGTCCGCAAGGCCCTTGGGAAAGAGTGTCGTGAGGGGTGAAGCACTGTGGGTTGTGAGGTCAGCCGGCTTGGGGCCAGCGCTTCAGATTCTTTGTCAGCCTCTCTTTCTCCCCTCCACAAAGCTTCACCCTCTTTTGTGTTCCCTCAGAGGCCTCCCTCTTCACCCACTCTGGGGCTGTGTTAAGGGTTAGGTCCTGGTTTGCAGAGTCCACGGCTCCGCAACTGAAACTTAATAGGTTCCCGCTGCTGCTCTGTGGCACAGAAGTGGAGTTGGCGAAGGGCTTTAGGCCAGCAGGTGTCTGTGACCACCTTCACGGTCCAGAAAGATCACTGCCCTTCCTGGGGTGGTAGATGAGAGGAGACACCAGGGGCACGAGACGCTAAAGGTAGGACTTAGATCAGGCCACTGGCAGTGAAGATGGAGAGACCCGTGGAGCTCCGTCTGGGGTGCCTGACCTCCTGGAAGAGGCCGTCCAGGACGTGGGCTGTGGGGTGACTGCTTCTCTAGCTCTGAAAGTCAAGTCACCTTGACTCAATCAGCTGATCACCTGTGTCTCCATCAGCCCCGGTGGCCACACCTCATGGCTGACTTGTACAGCGGAAATGCATTTTCTCACAGGTCTGGAGGCTGAAAGCCCCAGATCAAGGTCCAGCAGATTTCCAGCAGACCCTCCGGGCTCCGAGAGGGCTGCCTGCCCTCTGCGCTCACCTGGCGGAGAGAGGTCAGCACGTTCTCTCATATGTCCTCTCGTGAAGACACTGACCTGGCTGGATGGGGCCCCACCCTTATGGCTTCGTTGAACCCTAAGTGCTCCCGCGAGGATGCTGCTCTCTCCCCCAGGCCATGGGTGGGGGTGTTGTGTCCTTCAGGCCCGGCAGGTGTGCACACACTGGACGCCTAGCTGGTGGCCACTTTTCTCGCAGCTGGCAGCACTGTCTGAGGACACATCTCCGACCTCTTGTGTAGCCAGTTTAAGCCTCACACCCAGGCGCTTCTCTGGAGTCTGGGTAACTCACAGCCTCCAGGGCAGGTGCAGAGAAATCAGGGCTGGGCCCAGGGCCACGCAGAGGGCCAGTGGCCACTGTCCTGTGCCACCTCACTGAGCGGCCTTCGGCAGGTTCTGACCTCTCTCTAGTCCTCGCCCCTCCCCCCAGTGATCACCCCTGACCCTTTGCACGGGGCTACTCTAGACCTCTGGGCAAATGGACGCTCTAGCCCCAGGAAGATGCTAAAATGAAAGTTGCGTCAAATAAAATATTCACCAACTCGGTCACCCCAGCTGCATTTCATTTGTTTCTCATATTTTATCGATTTGCTAATTGCATCTGTGACTATATAACTGGGGGAGGAAACTTCACCTTGCCTGTGCGCACCCCACTCTCCCTCTGCCTCACCCCCCCACCCCAGCCTGTTGACCCCCGTTGACCCTCACCCTCTCCCCCACCCCCCACTAGATTTTCACAGAGTCTAAGAATTAATTTTCGTTTTTGTTTTGCCGGCTTGTCTCTTTGGTGGTTTGTAGTCCACAGATGAATGAAACCGCCTTTCACTTTCCCACCTATGTCACTTAGCATCACCTCAAGTTCCATCCGTTCTGTCCCCAAAGCACCGTTTTATTTTTTCTTGTAATAGCTGAGTAGTATTCCATTGACTGTTTGCGCCCTAACTGCTTCATCCAGTTATCTGCCGATGGGCATTTACCTGCTCCCACGACTTAGCTGCTGTGTGCTTTCGTTGTGTTTGGGTAAACACCGAGCCGTGGGATGGCTGGATCACATGGGGGTACCCACTCGTGTTTTTTTATTTTTATTTTATTTTATTT